TTGTCAATGACGACAAGGATGGCGTCATGACCGCTGGAGGTAGGTGGTAACCCAGTAATGAAGTCCAGGCTAACCACTTGCCATGGTTGTTCTGGGACAGGAAGAGGCTGCAGTAGTCCCGCCTTTTTCTGCTTGCTGCTCTTCATCCGCTGACATGTATCACACGAGGTGACGAATTTCTGGACGTCGTCTGCCATATGGGGCCAGTAGTAGTGTTTGGCGATACCGGTGAGCGTCTTGTTGCTACCGAAGTGTCCGGCGTACAGGACGTCGTGGTATTCTTCGAGTAGTAACTGGCGCAAAGGAGGGTAATTGGGTACCCAGATTTTTGTTGATCCTTTCCGGTACGCGATGTCACTGTCCCACTGTAGCAGATGTCGCTTTTCTGCCAAGGAAATTTCGGGGTCGATGGCGTACCCGTGGGTGAAGAGTCCCTTGAGTAGTGGATTCATCCCTTCGACCTGAATCGCGGCAACGTGTGCAGGCCGGCTGAGAGCGTCTGCTTTGTTCTTGTGGCCGGGCTTGTACACGATGTCGTAGTGGAAGTGTGTCTCGAGGAAGTCGATCCACCGGACCTGCCGCCTGGAAAGGTTGGGTTGTGTCTTCAAATATTTCAGGCTGCAGTGGTCGGTGTAGACGGTCGTTCTTCGTCCTTCGAGATAACATCTCCACGCTTTGAAGGCGATGATGATAGCAAGAGCCTCTTTGTCGTGTATCGGGTAGTTGAGTTCTGCCCCGTGCAGTTTCTTGCTGAGGTAGGCAATTGGTTGCAGTCCATTCCCCTGGTCTTGCATCAAGACTGCACCCACGGCCTGATCACTGGCGTCTGCTTCAATGACGTAGTCACGTTCGGGATCTGGCAAGATGAGCACCGGTGCGGACGTTAGTGCTTGTTTCAGCTGCTCCACGGCTTCCTGGTGCTTCGTCTCCCATTTGTAGGGCGTGTTCTTCTTCAGCAGATTCGTGAGTGGTGTCGCGAGTTTCGCATACTGTGGCACGAACCTGTTGTAGTAATTAGCGAAGCCTAGGAACTGCTGCAACTCCTTCACGTTCTCGGGTGTCTTCCACGTACGTACGGCTTCGACTTTCTTGGGGTCGACGTGAACTCCTTGAGCGCTCACCAAGTGTCCTAGAAATTGGACTTTCTCCAGGGCGAATTCGCTCTTGGACAGTTTGACGTAGAATCGTTCTCGTCGAAGAATTTCGAAGACGCGTCGCAGGTGTTCGACGTGCTGCTTCATGTCGCGCGAGTAGATGAGTATGTCGTCCAGGTACACCACCACGCATTCGTCCAGAAGTGGTCGTAGAATGTGGTTCATTTCGGCTTGGAACGTTGCCGGCGCGTTGGTGAGTCCGAACGGCATGACCAAATACTCGTACGATCCGTACCGAGTTCGAAAAGCAGTTTTGTGGATAGAGTTGTCCGCCATCCGTATCTGCCAGTATCCGGACCGCAGATCCAGTTTGGAAAATACCGTAGCTCCCCGAAGCTGGTCAAGCAGGTCATCGATTCGCGGTATCGGATATTTATTCTTGATGGTCTGCTTGTTAAGAGCTCGGTAGTCGATGCACATGCGCAGGCTTCCGTCCGGTTTCGGTGTGAAGAGTACTGGGGCACCGTATGGCGAAGTAGATGGTCGGATGAGTCCTTTGGCTAGGAGATACTCGATCTGCTTCTTCATGTCGGTCAGCTCCGTAGGGCTGAGCCGGTATGGTGCTCGGAAGGTCGGCTTCGAACCCGGTTCCTCCACGATCTCGTGTTGATGCGTTCGGTATGGCGGTAGCTCGTTCGGAAGATCGTCAGGAAGAATGTCTTGGAACTCCTTCAGTAATTCCTTGATTTTTTCTGAAGTTTCCGAGGCTTTCTCTCCGTCATTCTCCACCTCTGTTGCTATCGCCAGGAACCCGGTGTCGGTCCGCTTCACATCCTTCTCGAATCGTGCGAGTGTCTCCACTGGGATATCTCCTGTATCGTCCCAGTTGGGTAGCTGTACTCTCCGTCCATTGTTGTAGATGCTTGCGGTGCGGTTCACCCAGTTGATCTCGGGGTTGAATTTTTTCAGGAAGTCTCGCCCGAAGATCAAGTCAAGCCCTTTGATGTTGGTGATGGGGAGTGCAGGTCTCCAGCGCAGTGGTCCGATTTGTAGATGTAGCACTGCTTCGCCGTGTACTGGTAACTTGCTGCCGTCCACCATCGTTGCAGAGAATCCTGAAGGCTTGTACTCTTCCCGGAGTCGGTCGATCATTGCCTTGTCGCAGACGGTGTGTGACGCTCCGCTGTCCACGAGTGCTTGGAGGCGTCGTCCTTTGCAGATGACCTCGAGCACGAGGGGCAGTCGTTGCTCGGAGTACCCAAAGATAGTTTCATTGATTGGGTCATAGGGTACATCCCAATATTCTGTACACACCTTTGTGTTGTTGTCTACTCCTGAGCTGGCAGCTGGCCAAGGCTGCTTGGAGAACGGCTCTTCTCCAGGGCCCGGAGTTTCTTTGACGACTGTGCGCGTCACTGATGCCGAAGAACTGGATGCATCCGTAGAAGGAGTTCGGGGTTTGTGCAGCTTCTTGTAGACCCCCAGCTTCCTCTTGAGCTGCTTCAGCTCCACCGACGTCTTCCCTGGGGAGCGGGTAGTCGTTGTGGGCTGGTGTCGGGAGAGGACGTTGACTCCGTGGAAAGGTCGGCTTCTTTCCACACTCCTTAATTTGGTCCCCAAGTTGTCCGGTACCGGTATAATCTCCACAGCTGTCTGCTTCTTTTGGAGTCCCTCCCGAATTTTCTCCAAGGCTCTAGCCCCTCGAACATCATAAGTTTTCATTAAAGCATCTTTATAAGATAACTTTAACGAATTCTTATAATTTCTTGGGTCTTCAAGGAGTTTCCCTGTCTCGGCAGAGTCTTTTTTCGCGGAGTCGTATTTTTCCTCGGCGATTTTCCCTGGCGAAGACTGGTCGTGGGGTGGAGATTTTCCCCCATCATTTCCTCCTTCTCGCGTCGAATCAGCTTCGTCGAAGTTGATTTTTCCGGAATCCCGCGGCCGCTTTCGGATCTTTTTATTTTCGCCAGCTAGATCCGCAATCACTGGCGACTCCCGTTTTTTGTCTTCTGATTGGCCGAAAGATTTCCGCCACTGTTGCGTGCCCGATACTCTGCGCGTGCGGCCTTCATTTTGTTGCAGTCGAAGATTCGGTGGCCCGGCACCCCGCAAAAATCACACGTGTAGTTGGTGTTTTTCGGACGTGGCCGCCCCTGGAATCTGTCGACTTCCATCGGGTCGGCGAACGTGGGGTGAGCCGAGCGGTCGCCCTGTCGCGTACTGCCGACGTGCGTCCGTCGTGTTCCGGCGTTGACCATGTCGAAGCGCTCCGCTGCCGAAACGACGTCACTGTAGCTCGCGTAGTTTGACGCTGCGACTTGTCGTTTGACTTCGGTCTTCAGCCCCGCGAGGTACGATTGTACTTTTTCCCCTTCGGTCAGGTCGGGAATGCGGTTATAAAATTCCTCCATCTGCTGCGTGTACTGTGCTACACTCCCGAACTGTCGGTGTCGATGAATTTTTTCCCGGGCAAGGAAACTCGAATTTATCGGTTCGAAGCGTTTCAGCAGGTCGGCGCGGAACTGCTGCCACGTGGCTTCACCGTGGATGAAAGTACTGTTGCCGCCAATCCACTCGAGTGCCGGCCCTCGCATCAGTGTCGCCGCGAGTCGTACACGTTGACCGTCCCAGACTGGCGAGCTCCATCCGACGGCTGCGAAGTAGATCTCCATCCCGGCGATCCATCTGCGGGCGTCGGAGTTTCGATCGCTCGGATCGAACGGCTCAGGTGGGCGCGGTTTCGGAGCCTCGAGAAACTGCTGCGACTGCTGCGTCGTCGCCGTTGTCGTCTCGTGCTGCGCTCCGGCGAGTCGAGTTACTCGCTCGAACTGGTTTCGCCACGCTTCGCGATCCGCTCGCATTTCCTCCTGAAGGGCTGCGATGCGCACGAAGAGCTGCTGGGTAACCTCGGCGTTGTCGAAGGTTGCCATCCTGTTCAAAACACGCACGGAGGGGGTAATTCGAAAATCGCGGAGCTGGTGCTTACCAGAATCGGCGTCGAATTGGTCGCCCCCGGCGGTTTTTCGAGGCAGGATCCCCGCTGCTGCTGCTTAGCTGAGCGCGGCCGAGTGAGAAAAGCTCTGATTACCAAGTGTCACAGGATCGAATGTGTCGAGGAAAGGTTGCACTATCGATCGGTACAAGGCGCTTTTATACTTCCAGAGTACATCAGGTAACCAGGTTTATCTTATCCTAAGGGAATAGACCCTTCTAGAAGATAGAATCACCCTGCGTATAGCCACGTGAGGCTATTGGCTTTAAGGGATTACGGCAGGATTACGCTGGATAACGTCTCTAGTACATTCCATGCCTGGTCGGTGATATAATTATAATAAAGGAAGAGACCAAAGGATAATGGAAAATGGAAAATAGGAAACCAAATGAGATGCGGTAAAACGAGAAATGAAAAGGGAAGGAAATAAGAAAAGGCCAAGTGGTGTAACGGGGTCGTACTCTCACAACGTGGCTCTCTAGTTTCGCCACGTAATCCCATTCTGTCCCACAAACCATTTTCCCACAAGCGTTCTTTCATGCTATATAAACCTTGGTTGTATTCGCCAATATCATCAGTCATTGCCCAGTTACTTCTTCGCATACTTCGCCAACAACTTCTTCGCCAAAGTCTTCCGCCGCGCCTTTTCCTCGATTTAACCAACTCCGCTATTCTCTAGCGGATTTAGGCCAAGAGGCCTAACATGTACAATACGATTGAGGAAGTGTTGTAAGTCGCGTAGCATGTTTCACATCACGCCCACATTGAACCATTCCGATTTCAAGTGGTACTAGATTTCACATAGAAAAACAAAACACTATATCGTATTGAATCCTGGTTCCATCCCCGATTCCAGCATCAGCTTTTAGGCCGTGCCTCTACATCTTCTAATCGACGGGGTACTCTGTCTACCCAGTTGACAAGTTCAAACATGACGCAGACTTGGGAAATTCAGCATCTGGTGCAGATTGCGCGCCCTACAATTGATGTCCATGTGGTGGACATGCGCCTGGCCTAATGATCTCCTTACCCGCAACCTAGTCCATGGCGTCACTGTCGTTTTTTCATCTTTCTCGCTGGAATCCCGCTAAGTCCCGTGCTGGCCTCTCCCCTCGCGCCCCTGCAGCCTCTCGGCGTGGGCGGAGCATCACAGCAGCTGTGGAGTCCTTCCGCCTGCCCATCACCGCTGCCGCCCTCACCGCGCACCGTCGCTGCGACACCCGCCTGCCGCCAGCACCAGTCGTGCTGTCCCCCGTGCGACCTCTCGTTTGCCCGGCGGCCCCGCGTGCCTCCCGCGGACGCGCTTCATCCGCGCGCCTCTCGTCGCCCTTCACCGACGCCCCTCCCTCTCTCCGCTTCACCCGCCGCGTCCGCCACGAGCTCTCCTACCCCCGCCTCCTCCCCTCAACTTCCCTACCCAACTCCTCCGGCCGAGCCTCCCGCATAAGTAGTTTCCGCCGTGCCTTGCGGTCTGGGCAGGCGCGTGCTTTCCTCGCGCTTCTCGCCCCCTTGCTCGCCGCCCTCGGCGCGGCCTTCGCTGCCGTCTCCGCCGCCCTCGCCGCGCTGCCGGTTACTCTGACGGCCACCTCCGTTGTTACAACCACCTTCGCAGCGAGCGCGGCAGCCCTGTCGTTGGTGCTGCCGCTGCTCCCTCTGGTGCTGGGCGCGGTGGGCACAGTGGGAGTGGTCTCCGTGGGTGTGCTGTGGCCGCTGCTGGACCGCCTCCTGTGCCTCGCGCTGCTCCTCAACTTCGCCGCAAGCGTGCTGAGCCTCGCCAGGGACTCGTATAGGCTGGGCGACGCGCGGCACCGCAGCCTGCAGGACCCAACGCTGGTGAGAATATGGGCCGCGGAGAGGTACGAGGACGCGTACGACCATGGGACCTCCGGGGACGAATACAGCAGCAGCAGCAGCAGGAGCCGTGTGAGAAGCAGTAGTGGGGAGGGTAGCAGGAAGGGCGAGGGCATGGTAGCTAGCGTGCGAGAGTTTTTTCTGGAGGCAGGCGACCCTCGGTTCGACTGGTTCGTGGCTGGAGTGGTGAGCTTGATCCCCGGCGTCAACGGCGCGGCATGGCTGCTGGCCTCGTGGCACTCGTCGCCCTTCCTCTCCCATGGCCTCAAGCGCCACATGGCCAAGAACGCTGCAGCCTATGGCCTGACCAGCCTCGCCTCCCTCCTCGTCTTCGCCCTAGGCTTCCCCTCCCCCACCTCCCTCCTCCTTTCGCCCTTCTCTTCCCTCACCTCCTTCCTTCTCTCGCCGTTCAGCCAATCAGCGGCCGCCACTGCAGCAGGATCAGCAGCTGCTGGAGCGGTGGCAGCATTAGGGGGGGTGTCGGTGGTGGGGTATGGCAGCAGCAGTGCGTGGTGGGTGAGCGTGGTGCTGGGGGCGGTGCACCTGCAGCTAGAGCGAGTGAGGGCTGTGAGCATGCAGGAGAGCAGAGAGGTGCTTCGCGCCTTTGGGCGCGGGCTCAAGAGAACGAGAGAGGCGCGACGAGGGCGGATCAAGGGGATGGGTTGGTGGGATGACCAGGCGGGGGGTGATGCAGATGAGGGGGCTGGCAACGATGGTCACGCCCGAAGCAATAGCAGTAGCACCGGCGGGAGCTGGGGTGGTGATGTGTGGATGGAGGCAGAGGAGCGGAGGCGGCTGCAGCAGTTTGATGCGAAGCTCGTGGGGAGGCCTCTGCAGCAAATGGGTACGCCAAGCAGCCAGACACAGTGGCTTGGGCACTATGGCTAGGGCTACCACTGTGGGGTGGAGGGGGGCAAAAACCGTGCATGTAAGCAATCTGCTTCGTAGATAGAAGTAATCTCTCACCTGTTCTCCTCTTAGTTGCTACAAACGCTCTGGCAAACACGCGTTTAGCGTTCAAACGCTTGAGTTTGAACGCAAACGCCAAACGCACCCAAAAACGCAAACGCTCTCTGGGATATTTTTCGGGCTGCCCCCCCAAAAAAAACACGAGATTGTCGTTGGAGAATAGCATTAAGGATAGGTGATTTACATGACATATGAGGATGCTGGCTTAAATGTTAAGCACGGTTCTTTTTTATGAGACAAAATGCTTTGCTGGTAGAACCCCCATGTTTCCCCCCTCCCCCACAAGAATCTTGAACCCCTGCCCGGGTAAATTTTTTACCCCTGCCCGGGCAAGCGTTTGCCTAGCGTTCACATACACACTGCCAAGCGTTTAGCGTTCAAACACCAAACGCGTTTGTGGCAACTAAGGTTCTCCTCAGGTTGCCTCTTTCTCTGCATGGCCAGGCCCGCCGGCAGCATGGACAACAGACGATGTGGTAACATGGCTCACAGCAGAGGGCTTTGTCTCCTATGCATCTGCGTTCCTCCACCATGCTGTCTGTGGCCAGGTGCCCTTCTCATGCACCCTTGCTGCCCTGCCCTGGGCTTCCCCCTGCGTACCTTTCCTGTCAACAATCTTTTTGTTTCTCTTTTCCTCATTGTGTCAACCATGCTGCTATCCCTCCCTCTCTCGCCCCTCACACTGCATTGCACCGTCAGTCCTTTCACCTCCATGTGTGTGCATTACCTGTGTGCATGTGGTGCCAGCAGGTGTTGCTGGACTTGACAGCAGAGGACCTGAGGGATGATCTGGGGGTGCGCACTCTAGGTGACAGGAAGAGGCTGCTTTCAGCCATTGCACAGCTCAAACTGTGGTTTGGCTTAGGGCAAGCATGAGCACACGGGTGGGTGGCAGGGCAAATGTAGAGTTGGAGTTGTCAAACATATCTTTGTATGTTGTTATAGACTATATAGGGTTGTGCCTTAGGGACTACAGCCCTCTAGGTTATATTCCCTTGTATGTCATTGTTCTAGTCAATTCGTTAACTTTGATATGGTATCATGAGTAGGTTAGGTTCCCCCCCGCCCACCAGCGCTTCCGCCCTAGGTCCTAGCCGCCCCGGTCCCCTCCCGCACGTGCTGGCCCGTCTCCTAGCCAGCCCCGTCGCCTAGCCGGCCCTGTCGCCTAGCTGGCCTCGTAGCCCAGCCGGCCCCGCCTCCTAGCCGACCCCGTCTCCTCGCCGGCCCCGCCTCCTAGCCGGCCCTGCCTCCTAGCCGGCCCTGCCTCCTAGCCGGCCCCACCTCCTAGCCGGCCCTGCCTCCTAGCCGGCCCTGCCTCCTAGCCGGCCCTGCCTCCTAGCCGGCCCCGCCTCCTAGCCGGCCCTGCCTCCTAGCCGACCCCGTCGCCTAGCAGGCCCCGTAGCCCAGCCGGCCCCGCCTCCTAGCTGACCCCGTCGCCTAGCAGGCCCTGTCGCCCAATCGGCCCCGTCGCCTAGCTGGCCCTGTCGCCTAGCCGGCCCCGTAGCCCAGCCGGCCCCGCCTCCTAGCCGACCCCGCCTCCTAGCCGGCCCCGCTGCCTAACTGGCCCCGTCGCCTGGCCGGCTTCCTCGCCGGCCTCGTAGCCCAGCCGGCCCTGCCTCCTAGCCGGCCCCGCCTCCTAACCGACCCCGTCGCCTCGTCGGCCCCATCGCCCAGCCAGCCCCGTCGCCTTGCCGGCCTCGTCCCCTAGCTGGCCCCGTCGTCTAGCCGGCCCCGTCGCCTAGCCGGCCCGGTCGCCTCACCGGCCCCGTAGCCTAGCCGGTCCCGGTGCACAGCCGGCCCTGTAGCCTAGCCAGCCCTGTCACCTCCCCGCCTAGCCGGCCCCGTCGCCTCGCCGCCCGCGACCCCGTCTCCTAGACGCCTCGCCGCCGTCATCGGCCTTCTGCACCGTACTGCACCTCCGTCTATCGCCTTTCTGCTGCTGCAGCGACCATGATGGCAGACTCGGTCCTGCGTTTTGATGCGGAGGGGCAGCCGTTTAAGTTCGAATCGTGGCTCGTCGACCTCCACCGCCACCTGACTGGTCAGCGGCAGGACGGCCACTCCCTGGCCGTCCACATTGATGATACGCTCTTCTGCCCGGACCCCACGTCTGCTGACCGTGATTCTACTGCCGCTGCTGCCCTTGCCCGTGCTGTCTGGTTGTTGCGTGACGCTGTCGCACAGCTTGCGATTAGTCATGCCCTCCCCCCTGTCCGAGCACCCTCGCTTTAGGCCAGTCAGGACTGCGCAAGAGTTCCTAGAGGCTGTTGTCACGCGCTATTCCACCCCGCCCTCTGCCTCTGTCAGACGCCTGATCCTACCCATGCTCTTTCCTGATCTCGCGTCTTTCCCTACTGTCGCTGACCTGGCCGCCCACCTGCACACGCTAGATACGACTTGGCACGCTGCGTGCACTGAGGCCTAGCTTCGTGTGTTTCAGCCCCCCATCTGCTCTACCCTCTACCTGCTTGCCACCCGCCTCCCTGATCGCCTTGCCACCGCCCGCGATCACTTCCTTAGTCTCCACTCCGCTGACCTCACCCTCACTGACTTTGTTGACACCCTGTCTGCCGTAGAGCCTCGTCACCGCTCTATCGCCCAGTCTAGCGGTACCGTGCCGGTCTGCATCTTTCAGGGCTGTGCCCCTGCTCAATGCACTTACTCTGACGGTTCTGCTGCAGTCGCTGAGACAGCTCCTGCTACGGAGACAGCCGCCGCAGTGCAGTTTCGTCCGGGTAAGGGTCGCCGCCCCAAGGCTGGGCGCGGCGGAGGTAGCGGAGGAGGGGGTGGAGCCGGTGGTGGAGGTGGCTCGCCCGCTGGTAGTACTGACGAGGGGGCAGGGGCTGGTGCCTTGGAGCAGCAGCAGCAGAAGGCGCCGTCGCTCGACCAGCAGCAGCAGTAGCCGCAGCACCCACAGCCGCAGCAGCAGCAGCCGCCGCAGCGGCGGGTTGGTCGTCTCCCGCCCCGGTGGCCTGGCGCTGGCAGTGACGGTGGTCGTAGTGGTCGTGTGCGTGGCGTGACGTCGAGTGGTGGTCAGAGTGACGGGCGATGCCAGTACCAGCTCCAGACCGGTCCTCGCCGCGGCCTCATGTGCAGTAAGATCGACCATACCCCCACTTGTTGCTTACGTCGCCTAGACGACCTGTTTCGTCTCCGCTTCGGCCCATCGCCTGACCTCGCTGACTGGCACAGTCTGCTCCGTCGTGGTGTTAGGAACTTTGATATGGACATGGATGAGATTAGCTCTGCTTTGTATGTGCTGTATGTCGATAAATCTAGTGTGACTGTTTCATATTACCCTATGTTGCCTAGTTTAGGTGTGCCCAGTGTGCCTAGTTCAGGCTCCCCTGCTACGTCAGGCGTAGGAAACCCTACATCGTTTAGCCTTGGGTCCTCCCTCGCTCCTCCGACCCCCACGCCATTGCCGCGCTCTCCTTTACCTTTGACTCCGGCGCTTCCCAGTGTTTCTTTCGGTTTCCACTACGCTGACGCCGCTTGCCGCTCCCGCCGCAGTTGCTCTTGCAGACCCTTCTTTCGGTCCTATAGTCGCCTGTAGCTCCACCACCCTCCCCTGTCCGGCGGCTCCCTCGGGCTCCCTTATTGGCCTGCACATCCCCCCGTTCTCTAGGAACTTAGTTGGTGTCGGCTGCCTCCAGGACCTTGGCGTCACCACTACGTTCCATGGGCATCAGCGGTAAGCTTTCTGTACCGAGGTCGCCAATGGTGCCCCCCTCACCACGTTCCCCTGAGACCCGGTGTCTGGCCTATTCATGCTGGACACCGTGTCCCCCCCGGTTGGGACGCCTCCCCAGGTAGCAGTGTCTACCCAGGTTGCTGCTGCTTGCTCGTGTCGATCGCTTGCTCACACGTCGCATCTGTAGCACCACCGTCTAGGTCACCCCGCTCTCAACCGTCTCCTACACATGTCCCAGCACAGTCTTGTTTTAGGTCTCCTTGAGTCGTTCCCTGTGCTCCCCTCCTCACCAGCGCCTCCGTGCACGCCCTGCGTTGAGGGCTGGCTCCGCCGTGCCTCTCACTCCTCCTCGTTCCCCCCCACCGCCACACTGCTGCAGACCCTGTGCATGGACGTCTGGGGCCCCGCCCCCATCCATGGGCCGCGTCGCGAGCGCTACTTCCTAGTGCTTGTTGACGACTACACATGCTACACCACCGTGTTTCCCCTGGAGCGGAAGGCCGACGTGCCTGACGTTTTTATCCCGTGGCTTGTCTCTATGCGTGTTCACCGTGGTCTCCTTGTCTTGCGTCTTCACTCTGACCGTGGTGGCTAGTTCGCCTCTGGCTGCCTTGGTCGCTTCTGTCGTGTGGAGGGCATCATCCAGACGTACACCCTGCCGGACTCCCCACAGCAGAATGGGGTCGCTAAGCGACGCATCGGTCTGGTCATGGAGGTGGCTCGTACCTCCATGATCCATGCCGGTGCACCCCATTCACTGTGGCCGTTCGTCGTTGGCTACGCCGCCCACCAGCTTAAACTGTGGCCGCACTCTGAGCGGCCGCAGGTTTCGCCGACCCTCCTCTGGACCGGGTCTCCTAGTGACGCGTCTGCGTTCCACGTCTGGGGCTGCCTTGCTCACGTCCGTGCCTTTGGCACGGACAAGCTCACTGCCTGCACTGTCCCCTGTGTCTTCCTAGGTTTCCCCCTCGACTCGTCTGACTGGCACTTCTACCACCCGCCTTCTCACCGTTTTTTTCACTCTCGCGACGTCACTTTTGACGAGTCCATCTCCTTCTACCACCGCTTTCCCCACCGTGGTCCCCGGTCACTCCCCCCGAGTTCCTGGTTCCCCCCCCTCCACCGGTAGCCCCTACTCCTCCCCCTCCCCACCCTGCCCCGTATGGTGTATCTCACGTCACCCCCCTCCCGTCGGTTGTCCCTGCCGAGGAGTCTGTTGACTCTTGCAGCTCGGCAAACTCCCTTCCACCGCCTGTCTCGCCCGGGTCTCCCCTCCCCTGTCGTCGCCCTTGCTGTCACAATCACAGCCGCCTCCGCAGCTGCCGTTGCCGCCGCAGCCGCAGCCGCCGTCGTCCCCGCCGCTGGGGTTTGTGAGTTCTGGGGCTGCTGGGGAGCGTGCTGGAGCGGGTGCTGGAGCAGGTTCCCATTCTGGGAGTGGCGTGGAGCTTCTCGGAGGGAATCGTGCTATCGCTGGAGGTTCTGGAGTTGGAGTCGGGCAGCTTTCGCAGCAGTCACCACCGGTGTGCGCTCTTCGCCTCCTCAGTCTTCCTTCCCCTGACCGCCTGCCAGTGCCTCCCCTGTTGCCGCCGCCTCCTCCTCTGCCAGTCTACGGCCCAGTGTTTCCTCCCTCGGACTCCTCTCCGGCTCGTTTCCCTCCCCGTCCTCCTCCGGTGTCCCCTCCCCTCTCTCCTGACCCGACTCCTCCGTCTCACGTCTGGTCTTGTCGTCCCTCTCGTGCTCGTCCTACCTCCCCTGTTCAGCGGTCTCACCCTATTTTGCTTCACTCCGACGTGTCTTGTGCCCCTCCACTCCTCCCGTCTCCTCCTCCATCGTCGCTTGTTGTGGCCCCGCCCCTGTTTTCTGACTTCCTCCGTGCAGCGCGTCCCCTTGTTCCTCGTGTCATTGCCTCTGTTGTTACCGACCCGTCCGTTCCTGTCTCGAGTCTGTCGGCTCTTGTCGCTGCTGTCACTCACTTCACCACTTCCCGCCACCTTGACTACGCCACCGCTCTGGTCTCCGACCCTGCCTGCCCTCCGACCGTCGGTGGTGTGGCTGCCCTTGGCAGTGATGTCGTAGAGGACAGACAGTACGAGCTCGCTTTCCTTTCTGAGGCCGCTCCCTATCTCTGTTCCATGCTGCTAGTCCGTGACGGTGACCCAGACGCCCTTGACATCCCGACCCCTCGCACCTACGCTGAGGCCACCTCGGGACCCTTGGCCTCTCAGTGGATAGCTGCCATGGAGCAGGAGATGGCATCTTGGAGATCCACCGGTACCTTCGTCGACGCAGTTTCCCCACATGGGGTGAACGTAGTCGATG